GGCGGTGGTCCTGCTCGACAGCGGTTGCTCCCACCACCTGATGGGGACGAAGGAAGCCTTCGTCGACTTGCAGCCGAGCGGCGCCATCAAGCATGTGCGCGGCTTCAATGGGGCGCTGCAAGATGTCCAGGGCCGCGGCACCGTCGCTCTGCAAGGAGAGGCCAGGAAGGAGGTGCTCATCCCCGACGTGTTGTACGTCCCGGGTGTGCGAGCCAACCTGCTGTCGGCCGGCCAGCTGAAAGAGCATGGCGTGAAGCTGCAGGAGGACGAAGACGGCATGCTGCTCGTCTCAGCAGCAGGGGAGGTGCTCGGGCGGGCGACGTACTCTTGGCGAGTCCTCTGCATCGACCTGCGTCCCTGCACGACGACGTCAGCGTCGACCACGCTGAAGGTCGTGGCTCTGCGTGCGATCGTCTCGAAGACGAAGTCGACGCCGGACCGGATGCATGCGCGGCTTGCCCACGTCGGCATGGACACCATACGGAGCTCGGCGAAGAACGAGGTCGCCATTGGGCTGGACCTCAAGTCGGCGACGGACGCTGACTCCCCGTGTGTCTCGTGCGTCGGCGGGAAACTGGCGCGGCACACCTTCCCCGACCAAGGCTCCGACGCCGACGACGTGCTGGCCGTCGTGCACATCGACCGGTGCCGGCCGTTCCGCGTGACTGCCAAGGATGGCAGCCTGTACTTCTTGCTGTTGAAGGACCGCAAGACCCGCTACGTGTGGGTGAAGCCGGTCGCCAAGAAGTTAGATGCGTTGCAGGCGTTCGTACAGTGGCTGGCGGTGGCTGAGCGGCAGACGAAGAAGTCGGTGTTGATGCTGCGCTCTGACCGGGGAGGGGAGTTCCTCGGGAAGCAGTTCACCGACTTCGTGAACGGCAAGGGGATCGTCCACGACCTGACCTGCCCTTACACCCCACAGCAGAACGGCATGGCGGAGCGGGAGATGAGGACGGTGGTGGAGTCGGTGCGGACAATGCTGCTGCACATGGATGTGCAGCACCACTGGTGGCACCTCGCTCTGCGGCAGGCCGTCTAGGTCCGCAACTGCCTTGAGAGGTCGACGCTGCCACTGGGGACGATGCCGTACCAGCTGCTGACCGGGAAGAAGCCCGACTTGTCGCTGGCGCGGGTGTGGGGCTGCATGGCGCAGTTCCTTGTTCCTGAGCAGCAGCGTGGTGGGAAGCTGAAGCCGAAGGCCATGTGGGGCCTGCACCTTGGCGTGTCGGCGGCGAGCAAGGGCTGGGAGCTCCTCGACGTCAACACCGACCGAGTGGTCACCACGTCGGACGTGGTGTTTTACGAGGAGATGTCGGTGGCCGAGTGGAAGACGGGCCATGGGCCAGTGTCCGGCCGCCCGTAGTCCACTCCGCCATCTGACACCTCGTCAGCGACACTGCCGCTGCTTGCCGAAGTCGGTGAGCTTGCTACTGAGGACGTCGAAGACGTCCGCACCCCTACCCCTCCCCCTCTGACCCCTGCCCCTCCCCTCGTGGCCGACCTGCGTGGGCTGACCTCGGTGTCGGCCTCCGGCGATGAGGGGAGTCGTGGGACGCCGCCTTCGGCGCCGGCCAAGTGCATCGCCAGTGGCCGACATGACGAGCGGCGAATCGACGTGGGATTGCAGTCGAGAGGGGAGGAGCAGGTCGAGAAGCAGCAGCCGACAAGGGAGCAGGCTGCCGTGAAGCCGACCACGGAGCAGTCGGCGATCGGGCCGTCGGCAGGGGAGCCGACCACAGTGGAGCAGTCGGCTGGGACGCCGGCTGAGGAGCAGCAGGACGCCGAGGGCAGCAACGACAGCGACGATGGAGGGGATGCCGAAGGGGCCCAGCCGGGACCACGGCGTTCAGGCCGACTGCGGAGGCCGCCTGACTTCTTCGTCCCCGCTGCCTTCACCACGGTGTATGACGTGGACGATGACGACGACCTGCTGTACGACGACGCCGAGGAGGATGCGGAGTTCCCAGAGCTCGACCCCGACATGCTAGCCGACCCCGAGCACCGTTGGGACATCTCAACGATGACGGTGAAGGAGGTGTTGGCGAGCTGGAAGGGCCCGGCGATGAAGGCCGCCATGGAGGAGGAGATTCGCAGCCTCATCAACATGGGCACTTGGGAGCTGGTCGAACGCCCGCCGGGAGTGAACGTCATGAAGAATCGGTGGGTGTTGACGACGAAGTACCACATCGACGACACCGTCGAGCGAGAGAAGGCGAGGCTGGTCGTGAAGGGCTTCACACAGGTGTATGGCGCTGACTACGACGAGACGTTCGCGCCGGTGAGCAGCTACGTCACGCTGAGGATCTTCCTCAGCATTGTCGCCGTCCTCAACCTCAACCTTATGCAGCTCGACATGAAGAACGCCTTCCTGCAGAGCAAGCTCGATCGGGTGCTGTACATGTCTCAGCCGGACTACTTCAACGACGGAACCGGCCGGGTGTGTAAGCTGCTGAAGACCCTGTACGGACTGAAGCAGTCGCCGCTGTTGTGGTACTTGGCGCTCAACGATGTGCTGATCGGCGCCGGATGGAAGAAGAGCCAGGTCGACGAGGCTCTCTACTTCAAGGTTGGCGAGGGTGGAGTGGCCTGCTGGGTGCTGGTCTACGTCGACGACCTGCTCGCCGCCAGCAGCAGCGCCGCGATGCTGAAGGAGCTGAAGGAGCTGCTGGAAGCCGCCTTCGAGCTGCGCGAGATCTCGCCGATGCAGAAGTACCTCGGGCTGGAGATCGTGCACGACAGGTCGGCGGGGAAGCTGTGGCTGCACCAGCAGGGCTACGCTGACAAGCTGCGTAGGCACTTCATCGACGAGGAGCAGACCGGGCGCACCCCGAAGACACCGGTCTCGGTCGGCGCCTACGCCGAGCTCACCTTCGATGATGAGGAGGCGGAGGAACGGCAGGAGAAGGAGTACCGGCAGAAGGTCGGCTCGCTGCAGTTCGCGGCGACGACGACGAGGCCGGACATCGCCTTCGCCTGCAGCAAGCTGGGGAGCGGCCTCACGGTGAGGAGCGACCAGCACTGGCGCGAGGTCGACCGCTGCCTCGCCTACCTCGCCAACACGCGTGACACCGCCTCGGATTTCGGCGGTGGACCTGAGTCGCTGGAGCTGGTCGGCTATGTGGACGCCTATGACGCCGGCGACAAGCAGAACAGGACGAGCACAGGTGGCTACGTGTTCGTCTACGGAGGGGCTGCAGTCTCCTGGTCGAGCCAGCGCATCAAGTGCGCGACGTTGTCGTCGACCGAGTCAGAGTACGTGGCAGCCACTGAAGCTGGCAAGGAGGGACGCCGCCTTCGCTTCCTCCTCGCCGAGTTCCGGCAGCTGGACGCCGGGAAGCCGACTGTCCTGCGAGTGGACAACAAGTCGGCCATCACAGTCGCCGAGGGCATGGGGTTGACGGGCAACCTCAAGCACATGGAGCGGCGAGAGGCCTAGCTGCAGCACATGGTGAGGCGCGGGAAGTTCTCGCTGAGGTACATCCCGACCACTGAGCAGCCAGCCGACTTCCTGACGAAGGCACTGCACTATCCGGCCTTCAACCGGTGCTCCGTCGCAATCGGCCAGGTGCGCTTGGCCGACGTGGGCGACAGCGACAACGACGTGCAGTAGTAGGTGCCATGCCCTCTTGCATGGCTGGTGCGGTGACCGGCGTGCTGTGTGCTGGGTGCACGCCGACGGGCTATTCTCGGAACTGTACTGCCGTGTGGGGCTGGGGGGCCCAAGCGTGAACGCGGCAGGGGAGTGTCAACGGGAGTTGGGTATTGGCCCCGTCCTCGCTTGGGCGGAGCCGACTTCGTGGTCGGGTGTGAGGGGAGCAGCCGACCTGCAGCAGTGGGTGAGCTGGTCGACGAGGAGGTCGACCTGCACGGGGGACCACTGCACGGGCGCCGACTTCAGGGTGGCGCTGACTTCAAGGATGTCAACTTGGTGAAGCCGACTTCGGCGGTCGGCTAATGGACTGCTGGTCGACGTGTTAGTGGTCGACTGGACCTGGTGGTCGACGAAGGAGGGGCCGACGTCGACCTTGACTCAGGACGTCGAGCAGTTGGGCGTCGAGTAGCGGGGCGTCAACTTCGTGACGCCAGCTTCGGGTGGCCGACGTGGGTGGTCGGCCGACGACTGTGCTGGTCGACGTGGAGCTGGTCGACCAGGAGTACTGGTCGACGCAGAGTTGGTCGACTAGAGGGGACGTCGACCTGGAGGAGGTCGACGTGGAGGTGGTCGTCGACTTGGAAGGTCGACGGGCACGAACGGGAGCTGCTGGTCGACGTGGTTGCCTGGTCGACCAGGTTACCTGGGTGACGAAGTGCTGCGGAGGAGTGCGACGGACGCCCAGGCGAAGTTGGCGAGCCCGACCTTGGTGGTGGTATCCCGAGGTCGACGTGGGCGATCAGAGGCAGTCGTCAACTCAAGGTTGACGTGGTGTTGTGCGCTGTGCAGGTGACGAGATACTGCACGCCAATCATCTGCGTGCACCTGCGAAGCGGATGCATTGCTGTCCTGCGTGAGCAACGCTGGCACGCTGTCAACTTGCGATGTTGGCACACCATCGACCTTGCCTTGCTGGAGCGCGGTCGACCAAGTCGTGCTGGAACGCGGTCGACCGCGCTGCGCTGGCAGTTGGCCGACCTGGATGCTTGCTCTGATGTAGTCTTACTATGCCAACTTCATTGTAATCATTGTTCTGACCTTTTCCTAGTGAAACTCTTGCCAAATTTCCCCGTGAACTAGCAAGTAGTGTGTGCACAAGGAAAACGACTAAGGACTAACGAACGCAGAGATCACATGAGCACACGTGCCTAGCCCGTAGTCTATCTCCCGTTGCTGCAGTTATCTCCGCAGGGACTTGGGTGATGCTGCTACAGGGAGGCAACCACGAGGAGGGGGCTGAGAGGGCAAAAAGGCCAATTGAAGCTTCAGAAGTGAGGCGCGTGTATGGGAAGATGGTTGAACCTCCAACCCTCCACCCATCCCATGATGCAAACCCTTCACCCATCCCATGATGCAAACCTTCCACCCATTCCGCACCCCTTCTCCTCTCCACCCATCCCACACCCCTTTCCTCTCCACCCATTCCGCACCCCTTCTCCTCTCCACCCATCCCGCACCCCTTTTCCTCTCCCATCCCACCCCTTGCGTCAGCAACAAAGGACAGGCATGTCAACCCCCTCTCTCCACCCATCCTGGACCCCTTTTCCCCTCTCTTGCACAACAGCGCAATGTTCAGGAGAGTTGAGCTCTCTCTTTTCACACAACCCCCTCTACCCCTGCCCGGTGCTATCGAGTCGACTCAATCCCCTGCCCTGACACAATGATAGAGCATGCACAGGGTGGGCATGATATGGCCCACCATTTCTTCCTGCCCCGTCAGAGGGACTGAGATTGCGCATGCCATGCATCGTGCACATTGCAACTGCTTCCCCTCCTCGCCCCTCCCCTCCTCGCCCCTCCCATCCTCACCCCTCCCCTCTCCTCCTGCATGGCTTGTCTGCCATCGGTCCTGCTTCCTTGCCCACACTCACATTCAACCGAGTCAACGCCGGTCAACAGGACTTCCCTGCCATCCACTCACTGCCCTCCCATCGCCTCGTCCGCCGCTGCCACCACTGCCTGCCGGCGCTGCTTCCTCACCACCAAAACGGCCTGACAGCCATGTGAGTGAAGGAAGCGGGGGGGGGGAGGGGGGGAGTTTGGTGGCGGAGACATGCATGTAAGTGTAGAGGGGGAGGAGGGGAGGGGGAAGAGACAGGCATGCACGGGCAACAGACTGGCAATCTCAAGGGCGCCTTGCTTCTCACCATGAGCGGAGCGAACATTGCAGCAGCACTGCCATGGCATGTGCTGCCTATGAGTACTACCACTGCCGCCTGTGCTGCCAGCACAGCACGACTGTCAGCAACCCCTCTTGCGCCCAATCCCACTTCGCTGCTCATCCCCCCCCCCTCTTGCCCATCCCCCCTTGCACCCATCCCCCTTGCGCCCATTCCCCCGTGATTGCCTGCGGTCAATCGAGGCTGCTTGTAGTGAGACGGCTCACAGATCCACGCTCCAACTCCGCCCGCGCATGTTCTCACCCCCCTCTCCGCGCTGCCCTGCAGCTTCCCCCGCGCTCCCGCAAACCCGCGCTGCTGCGGCATCAGGCGAAGGTGGACGGGAGGAGCGGCGCATGTAACATGCGGAAAGAAGCCGCTCGCCTCGCGGAGAGTGTGGGGGTGCGCGGACAAGCGAAGAGAGATGGGAGGCGCCACGAGACGGACGGGGACGAGCGAGAGAAGGGCTGCTCTCCATCCTATTCATTTCACGGATCCCTTTGGTATGCGAAATCAGATTTGCACATGGAACGCCGAGAGGTGTTTGGAAAGGGGATGTGCGTCTAACTGCGGGCGCACGTCCTATAGTGCGGCGAGTGCTTCACGAGGTGCGCTCGACGTGTCGAAACGCCCCCGGAAAGCGACGGGTCCTCGTGCGAACACCTCACTTGATCGCGCCAGCGGAACGCCGCCCCTCAACCCTCCTTCCTCCATAACCGCGCGCTAAGCCCGATTCCCCGCGTGGGCTCATCGCTGCTGCCACTGCTGCGCTCTTCGCGTCGCCCTCATCGCGCTATCCGTTTCCCGCTCGCTGCTCCGCCGAGTCGGCGAAGCGCTGAGCGGCGGAGGTGTGGCGAAACTACAGGGTGGTGTGGCGAACTCCAAGCAGCGAACTGCGTTTGATTGGCCGCTGGTTGAGTTGACGGTCAAAGGGCTGGCTGCTAGTGAGTGCCGAGGAGGTGCGCGCTCGAGATTGGGTACGGTACAATGCGGTTGCTAAAAATGCTCACGGATGCCCAACAAGAAAGTTGTATAATTTCTAATATTAACGTAATTGCTGTTTTAGAAATTAGACCAGCACAGCACATCATCCAGCTTCCTTGCTTCTGCATGTTGGGCTGAGAAATAGCCCTTAGGATCTTTGTAGGGGTGAACTCTGGGTAAAAATGATGTAGTAGCGGAAGCGTTTTAATGAAGAGTTGTGAACCACCTTGCGCTAGTATGTGAGGGCAAAGTTGATTGATCAAAGCAAAGAGATACAAGATTATATAGGAGTACAGGAAATATGAAGAGATACAGTTATAACTACTTTACTGTTGATGTTGCGGTTCGATACAGTGACGACTCGGGCAACTGATATGTAACGAGTCAGTTGTGTGTCCTTGCTGTCGCGCTGTACTTGTCAGGTCAAAGGTCGCTGACCTTTGACATTTGCGTTACCTCCGACAGTTATTTTAACCTCCGAGGGTTGACTCGCCAGTGCTTCGATATGCTCCGCTTCACTTCTGACTCGGTGTTTTGACACGACAGAGGCGCTTAGAATTAATTGTTTCCAACACTCCCCTTCGCTTCTGGAGTGTCGCTGCTGGTGACGTGGCTCTGTCCAGTCAGCAGCATGCAGTACTCGAACTTCTGCTTTCCGAGCTTCTTGGTCAAGTAGTCAGCTGCCATCTCGGACGTGAGGCAGTATGACAGTTCGAGTCTCCCCTTCTCGATCTCGTCCTTCACGAAGAAGTATCGTAGGGCTGTCAGAACATTATAGCTTATGCATTTGTGTAGGCTGTAGTGGGGTAGCCCAAACGGGGTACAACCCAATTAGGGTTAGTACTTGTACCCAACTGTTTCATAGTCCATTCATTCTCGTTCTCACTTCCACATGGTATAGAGCAGGTTCCCTAGTGGGAACTGCTCCTAGGGCCCACCGAATTTTTTTTCCTGCCCGGGGCGCGTCTCGCCCCTGCTCGAAGCGCGCTTAGGGTAGCGCCTTCCCTAGCAGCTCCGTCGCGTCGCCCCTAGCGGCCCGTCGCGCCGCCCTTAGCGGTCCCGTCGCGCCGCCCTTCGCGGCCGCGTCGCGCCGCCCTTTCGCGGCCCCGTCGCGCCGCCCCTTTCGCGGCCCCGTCGTACCGCCCTCAGCGGCCCGTCGCCGCCCTCCCCTTGTGGCCCGTCGCCGCCCTTTCACCTGCGGCCCCGTCGCCGCCCTTACAGCGGCCCTGTCGCCGCCCCTGACGCAGCCCCATCGCCGCCCTCACAGCGGCCCCGACGCCGCCCTTATAGTGGCCCCGACGCCGCCCTTCCAGCAGCCCTGCCACCTCTTTCAACGGCCCTGTTGCCGCCCTCCCCTTACGGCCCGTCGCCGCCCTTACAGCGGCCCCGTCGACGCCATTTCAGCGGCCCCGCCGCCTTCTTCAGCGGCCCCATCGCCACCCCTTCAGCGGCCTCGACGCCGCCCCTTCAGCGGCCCTCCTGCCGCCTCCTCTGCGGCCCCGTCGTCGCTCCCTTCAGCGGCCCCGCCGCCCTTCGCGGCCCCGCCTTCCTTAGCGGCACAGCAGCCCAGCAGCCGAGCCGCCGAGCAGCCGAGCCGCCCAGCAGCCGAGCCACCGAGCCGCCCAGCAGCCTAGCCGCCGAGCCGCCCAGCAGCCGAGGCGCAGCTGCTGCCTAGCCGCCGTACCGCCGCGCCGCCTGAGCCGCCCGAGCCCCGAGTTGCAGAGCCGCCAAGCCGCCCGAGCCGCCCTGTCCGGTAAGAGCAGCGCCTCTGTCACTGCACTGCCCTTACCCTACTGCTCGCGCTACTAGTCTATTGCTGTCATGGCTACCCCTAGTGTCCTAGCTTTTGACGCTGAGGGTCGAGCCATTGACTTTGACGTCTGGGTAGATGACCTGCAGCTTTTCCTACACTGCGATAGGGCAGACGGTATCTCCCTCTTTGACCTCACCTCTGGTGCCTCTCCTGCCCCTGCTGCTGATGCCGACGCCACTGTTCTCTCACAGTGGACCACACACGATGCTGCTGCACGTCTTGCTGTGCGTCGCCACCTGCCTACCTCTGAGCGTGCACACTTTAGTCAGTACAAGAGTGCTCAGACCTTGTACGACGCTGTAGTTGCACGCTACTCCTCCCCTGCCACTGCTGCACTGAGCCGCCTCATCCTACTGTACCTCTTCCCTGACCTTGCTGCGTTTCCCACAGTCTCTGACCTCATTACGCACCTCTGTACTAGTGACACTCGCTACCGCGCTGCGCTTCCTGCTGAGTTCTGCACCAAGAACCCCCCCCCCCATGTACATCACCCTCTACTACATAGTCACCCAGCTCCCTGACTCCCTTCGCATAGTCAGGGACCACTTCCTCTCGGTTTGCCCCACCACTCTCACCGTTGACCTCCTCGAGAACGCCCTCCTAGCAGCAGAGAAGAGCATAGTAGCTGTAGGAGCCTCTCGTGGTGACCCTCGTGTCAAACAATATATTTGTTGTTGTAGTTGTTTAGGCTACAGCGGGTTAGCCTATAGGGGGTACACATTTCTAGGTTTTCATACTTGTACTCATTTCACCCTTAGTTCATTCATTCTTGTTCAACATGGTATAGAGCAGGTCCTTTCTAGGACCGGTTTTTCTTAGGGCCCACCACTACCTACCTGCCTAGCTGCCTACCTACCTACCTACGCCCTAGGGCGCCTCGGCGTTCACGCCCCTAGAGGCCCTGTAGGCCCCGCGCTCTCGCACCTAGAGGCCCCGAATCGGCCCCGCGCCTTACCCTAGAGGCCCGCGCCGGCCCCGAGCTCGTCCCTTCCAGGCCCGCGTCGGCCCCGCGCTTACCCCTAGAGGCCCGCGTCGGCCCCGAGCCTACCCCTAGAGGCCCGCAACGGCCCCGCGCCTACCCCTAGAGGCCCGCGTCGGCCCCGAGCCTACCCCTAGAGGCCCGCGACGGCCCAGCGCTTACCCCTAGAGGCCCGCGTCGGCCCCGTCTCTACCCCTAGAGGCCCGCGACGGCCCCGCGCATACCCCTAGAGGCCCGCGTCGGCCCCGTCCCTACCCCTAGAGGCCCGCATCGGCCCCGTCCCTACCCCTAGAGGCCTGCGTCGGCCCCGCACTTACCCCACCCGCTCCCCACGCTCGCCCTTAGCGGCCTCGAACGGCCCCACCCAGAACGAGCCGCCTGCACCGAGCAGCCCAGCCCTACCGAACCGAGCCGCCCGAACCGAACCGCGCTGCCCGAACCGAGCCGCCCGAACCGCGCCGCCCGACCTGAGCCGCCCAAACCGAGCCGCGCCGTCCGACCTGAGCCGCGCCACCCTACCAGTACCGAGCCGCGCCGCCCTACCTACCCTACTGCTCCTACTGTTCTTCCTACTGCTGCTACCATGGCTAGCCCCCCTGTACTAGCCTTCGACGCTGAGGGTCGCCCAGTGAAGTTCGACACCTGGCTTGATGACCTACACCTCTTCCTACAGCTCACTGCCAAGGAAGACATCTCGCTGTACGATCACGCCGTAGGCCACGCTACTGCTCCTGCATCTACTGCTGACAGCACTGCTCGCTCACAGTGGCAGACTCGTGACGCCCATGCTCGCTTCGCTATTCGCAACTCTCTGCCGATAGATGAGCGCGAGCACTTTGGACAGCACAAGACTGCACAAGCACTGTACACTGCTGTCGTTGCCCGCTACTCCTCACCGGCCTCTGCCGCTCTAGGCCGTCTCTCTCTTCCCTACCTGTTCCCCGACTTAGCTTCCTTTCACACTGTCGCTGATCTCATTACCCACCTCCGCATGAGTGAGGCTCGCTTCCGCGCCGCTATGCCTGATGAGTTCCTTGCCACGAACCCACCCCCGCTCTGGCTCACTCTCTAC